CACTGTTGATAACTGATCCCCTACTCTGTAATGGATCTATTATACTGTCACTTCACTACGAATAGAAAACATTTTTTAAAACAAATGGTATGCAGTTATTGAGTCATAGTTTGCTGTTGGCTGTAATTTGAAAATACCCATTGTTTCATATTACACTAGGGTCTGACTACAAGGTCAGTATTTATTACCCAAGCCTTATGGCCCTTGAGAATGTGGTGATAAACCACTACCTTAAACTAATGCAATCCATGTCGTGTAGATGCTGATGGAGAGCAAGTTCCAGACTTTAACCCAACAACAATGAAGGAACCTTAATGTAGTTCCAAGCCAGGATAGATTGTGATTTGGAGGGCTACTTAGTTGGTGGTGGTCCCATGTCTTTGGTGCAATGTAAGAGGAAAATGATAGCTAGATCTTTCAGGACTGAAGTTGGGAGACATGCCTTCATAAAGAGTGGGAATAAAATTCCAAAATTGTCAATCAGTTCTATAGCAATTGTTAATTTTAAATCTGAGATTGAAAGATATCCAAAGGTGTTAAGAGATATGGGACAGAAGTAGGACTATGGAGTTAGGTCGTAGAGTGGATTAGGTCTAGTGGAATGGCAAAACAAAGTCTAGGGCTCATGTGAACAATTCCTGTTCCTATGTTCAATGCCTTAATTATTAAGATCATAATGTGCTGTGATGTCTTATTTGGACATGTCTCCAGAGCTGGAGTGACAAAGGCATATGGTAGCCATGTTGAGCCTGCTATTGCCTTGCAGGAGAGACAGTTTTAAACTTGAGAGCTGTAGACCAAAATGTTCAGTTTAGTGATTTCAGCTTTGAAAACTGCATTCTCAGCCTCCCCTAGCCTGTTAACAAATTCCTCACGAAGCTTAGATAACAAGGTGTAGAGCTGGATGAACACAGCAGGCCAAGCAGCATCATAGGAGCAGGAAGGCTGACGTTTCGGGCCTAGACCCTTTTTGAAGCCATGAATTTTGCGTCATCACCTCTACCCACATCATGGAGAATTGCTTTGTATTCCAGAAATCATAGGATCCAGTTCCTGCAAGAACCTGATTATCGAATTGCACCCACATCCCCTTCTGACTCCTTCAGCAATTGAAAGTTCTGCCCTGTAAGTGTGACCCAGTTGCACGCCCATGAAAAAAAGCCCTGCAAAGCTGTGTCACACCGTTGTGATAGTAGTTATATTCTGTTGAGAGAAGAGGCAGTTTATGACATTTTAAGGTGTACACCTTTCATCTGACTAAAGATTGATTGCATCATTACCTGGCAAGGTTGCTCCATCTGTTTCATTCATAAGCAGGGAGGTGGTTTTATGACAATTCTTTCAAACCACTTCCTTCTTCTTTTGTTCAGAAACAATGAGCCCTGATTCCAGATTGGCAAACGAGAGCAGGTTAGCTGCAGTTGCAGAACTTTGTTTGCATTTTCAATTCCTAACGTACGTGTTCTTCTTTAATGTTTAAACGACTGCAAGAACTCCCACCCCCATCCCCTACAGCCGCAGTGTAGGTATAAACATTTTTTTAAAATCCTTATTTTTCTTCCTCAACTTCCTGAAGGCACCTGCTTATTATGGGGTAGTGTTTTGTGAGAAGGGGAAATAATCTTGTAGCTCTGAAAAATTACCATTTTAATGTGTCAGTGCAGGTAGTGAATTATCAGCAACGTACATAATAATGGGGCAGCATTACAACTCAGCCTGATCAATATCAACACTGCATGTGTTTCCAGAGGATTGTCAATGGATAACAGCTAGACAATGAAACGCTTCCTAAGTTCCAGCCATTAATTTTGGAGTATTTTGGCTGATTGCATCATTGCCTGTCCTGAAATCAACTAATTCAGCATAGCCTATCCAGAACTGGAAAAAATAATCAAAACTTAATCCCTACAGTGTAGGTAGAGGCCATTCGGCCCATCAACTCTTTGCCGACCTTATGAAGAGTATCTCACCAGACTCACAACCCCTATTCTACCTTCACAAATCCTGCATTTACCATGGCAATTCCATCTAGCCTGCACATCCCTGGACAGTAGGAGACAATTTAGCAAGGCCAATCCACCTAACCTGCACATCTTTGGACTATGGGAGGTAACCAGAGCACCCAGAAGAAACCCTTGCAGACACAGGGAGATTGTGCAAACTACACTCACCAAAGGCTGGAATCGAACCTGGGTCCCTAGTGCTGTGAGGCAGCAGTGCTAATCAGTGTGCTACCGTGCTGCCCCCAGAAGTGGTTATATAGGGGTAACAAGGTGTAGAGCTGGATGAATACAGTACCCAGGCAGCATCAGAGGGGCAGGAAAGCTGACATTTTGGGTTTGGACTGTTCTTCAGAAAAAGGTTCTGAAGAATGGTCCAGACCCGAAACGTCAGCTTTCCTGCTCCTCTGATGCTGCCTGGCCTGCTGTGTTCCTCCAACTCAGAAACCTTATTATCTCAGACTCCAGCATCGGCAGTTCCTACTATCTCCAGGTGGTTATATAGGGATGTTTTTGCTTTTCTTTTATCCTAGAGTGCGAATTTCAACTCTAGTCCCCTCACCCCCTACAATGGTTGATGGAACCTTCAACTGTGTCCAACCCATTTAACACACTTCTATCCTCACCCCTTCCCTTACTTCCCAGAATAATAAAGTTCCCCTTGCCCTAACTTTCCACCCCACCTGTCTCTGCATTCAAAGGATCATTCTCTGCCATTTCTGCCATCCATTGAGGATACCAGAGTTGAATGCATCTTCCCATGCTCTCCAGTGCCAGTACTGTGCAATGTCATTCCCTCAACAATACCCTGGTCCACTCCTCTGCCACTTCCAACACATCGTCAATATGCCCACCCTACCCACTGGCACAACACCTACTGTTATAGAAAATCAACACTTGCTCCTTTGCCCCCTCCTTCCACCCTCTCCAATGCCCCAAACACACCTTTCAGGGGAAGCAATGATTTACTTCAACTTTTTCCAATCATGTCTACTGTATTTGCAACTGACCATACAGCCTCCTCTGTATTGGTGAGACCAACTGCAGACAAGACGAATGCTTTAAAGAACATCTCTGCTCTATCGACAAGAATGACCAAGACCTTCCAGGTCCCTGCCATTTCAATATGCCATCATGCTCTCATGCTAACATTTCTGTTCTAGATCTGTTGCAAGGTTGCAGCAGAACAGACTTTTTCTCTCTCCACAGATGCAGCTGCCAGACCCACTGAGTTTTTCCAGTACTTTGTATTTATTTCAGTACAGCCTGTGTTTGAAAGCTGGAGTCATCCAACCTGTATTGTTCAGTACCACCGGAGGTGATGTGCTGGTCCAGAGGGAATTGGATTGTGATACGGTGCAAGGGCACTGGAGGTCATTGCACACACCTTACAGTATTCGCCTAACTGGAACCTGAGCTCACTGATACCAAACAAAAGAATAAAGTTGTTTGAATGAGACAGGAATTACCTCTCTGGGATTAAAGCAGGTGAACTGACTATCATCAGTTAATGGTTGAGTCTCGGGCATGCCCAGCAACAAAGCCTGCCATTGTTGATGAATGCAGAGGAAGGTAAATGCCAGTTCCTGAACAGTACAGCCAATATATTGCAAGCAACGTGTGCTGCCAAGTCCACAAACATTTCCTCAGTATGTTTCCAGAAATGACTTTGTGTTCAGTTCCATATGCAACATTAAATTAACATGAGCATTCTATTGCTCAGGTTCATGCCTGTGTCCTTTGGCATGGTGCAAGGCATGCATTGTATGATCAAATTATGCAAATAAGTTCATGCATATTGATTCATTTTCAGAAATTAAAACTGTTCACAAATCCCCAGTAGCCAATTGAGTGAAATATTAACTGAGTTAGCACTGAGCAATGCAGACTGTAAGATCCAAAGTTCAAGCATTCCAAACCGAAGTGCTGAAATGCTCAACAGGCTTGGCAAAATCTATGGAAGAGAAATAGAATTAATTCTAGTGTTGATATGATTCTTCGGAACTGAAGGACAGTAGGAATATGATATCCCATTGAAAAGGTGGAAGGGGAGAAAGCACAAAAGGGAAGGTCAGAGATATAGTACAGGCAAAAGAGATCATGGAATAAAGATAAAAGAGTGGTAAGGTTGTAACAAAGAAATAAAGTATTAGCCCAGAATGAGTGTTAATGTTAGCTCTGTCTGAAATCGAAAATATGAAAAACAAGATTCAAATCAATGCATCAAAAGAAACAAAAATGGGGGACAGAGTTCATTGGCTGGAATTAACTCAGTGTTGAGTCTAATGTCCAATCATAAGATGTCTTGCTGTTGCTTGATCTTGCATTGAGCTTCACTGGAGCACTGCAGCAGGCAGAAGATAGTGATGGTGGTTCACCATCTTGCCTTAAAATAGCAAGCAACTAGTAGTTATGGATCATGCTTGCAGACTAAGCAGAGATGTTCCAGAAAGCAGTCACCGAGTCTGGTTTAGCCTCCCAGAGTCGTGACTGCTTTCTGGAACATCTCTGCTTAGTCTTTTGTTTCTTTTGATGCATTGATTTGAATCCCTGTGGGGCAACCTAGAGCAAAAGGTCATAGTTTTAGGATGGGAGCAGCAGATTTAAAACAGTGATGAGGAGGAATTACTTCTCTCATAGGATCGTGAACCTGTGGATTCATTACCCCAGGGAACGGTGGATGCCGGGTCATTGAGTAAATCTAAGGATGAGATAGACAGATTTTTAATTACTGATGGGTTGAAGGATTATGGAGAGCGTGCAAGAAAGTGGAGTTGAGGCTGAGATTAAATCAGCCATGATCGTATTGAATGGCAGAGCAGGCTGGAGGGCTGAATTGCCTACTCCTGCCCTATGTTCTTATGTTCTTTGCTGAATTCAAACTACCTGATCTTTGAACAGTCCTCCTCCAGTCTCCTACTTGTTTTCTCATGGTCTATTGCATGTTCTTCAGATTAAATTGATGTCAGTAGCTTTCTGATTGTTCTTGCTGTTTCCTAGGTTATGCAGGGTCTAGTGGTTGGATGGCTGACTCAGCGAATTGTAGAAAAAACCCTGCTTCTCTGGTCCATTCTGCTGATTTGTCTGTTGGGTTTGGCTATGGTAAGTTTTTTTGATCTTGTGCAATACTGTGGGCTTGTCCTTCACCTTGCCTTGTACAGCAAGAGAATAACGAAAGCACACGTCTTTTATGAACCAGTGAGTAATATACTGGGTGGTGTAAAGATTAAGAAGGGTGTGCACACAGGATATAAAAGATGTTGCAGAAAATTAAAAGAAAATCATAATGCCCTTGTGATTTTTTTCCTCCCTAGTTGCTTGCAAAGTGTCATTCTGGAGATTAATCTTCAATTCCTGGAAACTCTGGGTCTCTCCTGGAGTGTTGACACTAGGGGAGGGGGGTGGGGTGGCAGGGAGAGAGAGTGAAAGAAGAGAGAAAATTGGCAGTTCAAAGAGAAATGTTAAAAGCTTTTGTCCATTACCACAGTAACCCTATGGACTGTCTCACTGTGGCAGCTGTGCTTGTGGATATGACTTTAATAGCAGGATGTAGCTCATAGCTTGAGGCTAGTTCACATCCTCAAAATGATGTAATGATAAAGGTCACAGGGTAAGAGTCAGAGGTTCTTCCTGTGGAACTTAAAGCATGCTCAGATCGAGGGGTATTCTATAGGTTTTGTACAGGTAGGTAGGATTTCATTGCCTCAAGTAATCAGAGGGGTGACAGCAACAAAAATAAGAGTGTTGTTGGGTGTTTCTGAAGTCCTTTGAATGTCTTGTTAGTGGGTCTGAGGCCTTTTTTGAAGAATAAGAGCGAGGGTTATAGGAGACTGAAGCCTTGGAAGATCAAATCACTCATAAAAATACTTCAGGGCAGTTTTCGAAGATTTTCTTCACTATTCTGTGCCTGAACTCCTTTCTCTCTATTCTGGAGACATTCACTGTTGCTCAGTTAGTTTATCATGTAGTTTCTGACATATTTCACTGAAGTGGCCTTTTTTTATTCATAGAATATAGGCACTGCTGACAAGAAGGCATTTACTGCCAATTCCTAACTCTTCTGCCTGATCTTAAGCTGTGATATTGCCACGTAACAAAAAATCAGAGAGGAACACGTCCACAGTTCGTGGACTGTGCCGTTATGATTGTGTCATTTGGTTTTAATTTCTTCTTTTGTCCGGAGTTTAATGGTTTCCATCTGTTTTTCCATCAGGCACTGATGACAAACATATTCCAATTTTGCCTCACTTGCATCCCGATGACTCTGGGAATTTCTGTTTTCTACCTCACCACGAATAGTATCTTAACCAAAATAGTTGCTCCCACAGACACTGGTAAGTGGACAATATAACACAGTGCTTCTATTAAACAGCCCCTTCAAACCCTCCCACTCCCTTATGATTCATTATGAAAATAGTGATTTACTGAGCCATAAGGTCCAGAAAGTTCCAGGTTGAAAGAGAAAAATCACAAGACTTCCACTTTCAAAAGATTAGTAAATATATTCTTATGTAGAAAAAAATCAAGTTTGTGGGGCAATAAGACAGTGGGACTGATTGGATAATTCTTTGAAAGAGCTGACACAAACACAATAGGCCAAATCACCACCTGAGCTCTGTGATTTTATCATATTGCCTCACATCCTTATCCATTGTATCCTTCCGGATTATGTGTACATGTGAATAATTCGGCAAGGTCATAATTTGCCACGTCTGTTATGTTTCGTCCCCTATTTTCCCCTCCTTATGTTACACTATGATGCAAAGGTTATATGTCTAAGTTCATGCATAATGTTTAGTCATGGCTAAGGTACTGAATGGTTGCCCTTTTCTTGCAGCTGGAACCTATTATCTTCACCATTTCAAGTTTAAATTTCTCTAAATTGTTCACCGCTATCGTCCTTGCCTCAGTCTCCAGTGAGTCCATAACTGCAACCCGCATCCTCACCCCTACAAATGCAGACTTCTCCATTACCCTTTCATATCAAAGGTCCATACATGTCCCACCCCTAGCAAAATTCTCACGCTAGCTTTTCAATCCCTTCAAGGCTTTATCCCAGTCTATCCTAATAGTTTAATTCTCATCTCTTGATCAGACGTTTTTAAGTTCAAGCCCCATTCCAAACTGTAGACTGCTATACCAGTGCAGCACTGAGGGTGTACTGTGCTATTTCTAATTAAATGTTAAACCAAAATCAGTTTTACTCTCTTCCACTATTTCAACAATGTCTACTTTATATTCAAACTTTCAAAGAGGAGAAGAGGAATTTTCTCCAATGGCTGTGCTATTTGTCCCTAAACAACATGATTAAAGCAAATAATGATGGTTACCTCGTTGCCGTTTTTGGAGCCTTCCTGCATATTGTGTTTTTGACATCTCAATGGTGACTGTACTCCAAAAGGGCTTCAGTTGACTGTAGAATGTGTTAGGATGTCATAAGATCATAGAAGACACTACAAAAAAAGCAAGATGGCTTTTCTTCTTCGTATGCATCCTATACTGCTCCAAAACAGAGCTCTCTCTGACCTTATTCCTCTGCTTCCCTATTAATGGATATACCCTAAACCCTCTGCATAATTTGACTTAATAAACAACTTCACACCATTCTTCACGGTTATGCTTTGCTTCATCTCATACAATCCTTTCTATCTTCTACTTCTGTTGGAGAGCCATGTTTTTGTCCACCTAATGCTGTGACTTGAGGCACTTCCCTGTGCATAGAAAAGCAAGAAATTTAAACTCTTGTGCATCTAGGCGCAGCTATTATTTTTATGCTTCTTACCCGATGATTTCCCTCTTCCTTCTATCCAGGTCTGTTTGGAACTTTAGAGGGAGAGGCTGTGTTCTCCATCATATCCATGATGCCATTCAGTGGAAACAAAATGCAAATACCTGACATTTTCTTGGACCTGAGCAATAGAAAGGAGCTCAGCTATACCAGGCTGGGATACTGTGCTGCTGGAGTAGTTCAGCTGAGTGAGGCAGATTGAATTATTTAAGTGGTGGGAGTTGGGTTATATGACCTAGATTGGGTTACTATGTTGAAAGGAAAAGTTGGGCTCTTTGTACCAGGCCTGTTAACTTTGCGTTTGTTTTGCTGTCTCATTCGTTATTTAATTGTGAATTTCTTTCTTTAGGTGCGATGTTGGGATTTAATATGTGTGTTCACTCTCTCATTCGCTCAGTGTCTCCCACTATTCGAGGCTTCCTGTTTGAATCGTATGGATTTTCATCCTTCGGATATATGCAGTTCCTGGTCAATTTGCTTGTCTTCTTCTACATCTTGATACACAGTGCCAATTAAAAATGTCAGAGTGGCAATCAACAGGGGAAACACTTTAGCAAGTAAATTGACTTCCAGAAATGGTCAGGGTTCAGATGAAGTCTATCATTAGATTAGAAGACATGCAGTAACAACTAATTTGTGAATAATTTTGTCATCTAGCGCATCAGTAGTTCTGCACCACAGCAATTATGCAATGAGATGGCAACGTGGTAGCTTAAAACACTGTGCTGCCAGTGACTTGATCCAACCTGAATATTTTCTTGATATTAAGTAGAACAAATGGGTAGATAAAAAACAAATTTTGGTGATTGGGAAATCTAGATCTGAGAGGCATATCCAGATCTTTTTAGGAATGAATTTCAGAAACACTTTCTCACACATGTTTGCCGCAAATAAAAAATTTGTGCTAGGTTAGTTTTACTTTAAATCTGAGATGAACAGAGTTTTGTTAACCAAAGATATTGAGGAAATGTGACATAAAAACAGTGAATTAGATTACAGATTCACCATAATCTCATTGAATGCCAGAACAAGATATCTACATAGTTTACTCCTGTCATATGTTCCTGTAATATATTTTGAGAAGATCTCAAATTGGAAAATTACACATTGTAAGTGAGAAAGACTAACAAAATGCCATGCGAAGTCATTTTGCGGGCCTTCCTGCTATCATACCATTTGTCCAAGGTTGGCCCATCCATCTGAAGCCAAAATGAGCCACTCTAGTGGCCAATTAAGAGCCTCTTCCCTTCTTTGCTGTCACCTTGCCCACTGTGTAGGAAAATCTCCACACCAACTGGCAGCCTCCTAGTGGGCTGTGGTTAGTGGGCTCTCTTTTTCAGACCCTCTTTTCCCAATGAGGGGCTCCCAGATTGCAGTGGCTGCCCCCGCAACATCAACACCACCTGCTCTTACTGACCCCCTTCCCTGACACAAAAAATATTGCTGAGGCCTGTCTTACTGGCCCACAGACCCCACTTGTCTGGCTACATGAATGCATAATCATTTCTGTGTCCTTTTTCCTCAAGGTGCCACCCCAGCAGAGTCCACACTCTTCAGCTCAATGCTGAGCTTCTGACTCTCTGATAGAGCCATCAATAAAATGTGACCCTGGGTCCCACTGCCCTCTGAAATCCTGTAATTTTGGCCTCGGCAGTGGGAGCCCTGTTGAGTCGGGAAATTCCCAACCATAAAGTTTGTTTTTGCTAATTATAGATATCTCTGGAATCCAAGAATGTCAGTATACAGCTGGTGGTTATTTGAAATCCAGAATGATAAAAATGCTAAATATAACAAAGAACAGGACAGAGCCAACATGATCATTATAATTGGAATAAATGCTGATCATTCAGAGGCAGTCACAATTTAAGTGCTGTTGTGCAGTATTTCTGTCTTAGAGCACAAATGGGGACAGTGACGTTACAGTTGTGCTATTGAGTTAGCAACCCGGAGATAATAGGTTTTCACCATGGCATGAATTCAATACATTTCTCTGATGGGACCTGTTCAAAAATGACCACCAGGGTTGAATTAAAAACAAATATTGGAAAGACTGAACAGCTAAGACAGCATCAGTGCAAAATGGAAAAGATTACACTTACATTTCAAGTCTCAATCAGAATTGCTGAAAGCTGAATTTTTGTAATTAAAAACAGTGAGTTCTCTACCTCCCTCCTCTACCCAGTCTGATACTAATTTTAGTGCCTGGTACCTGGCCACAAGACAAAGACTGAGCCAGCACTGCCTGTGTTACAAGATCAATTTCTAAAAGTTACATTGAAAGTTAAAATGGAAGCAGATCCCCAAGTTAAATTCATGCCTCATAAACAGTGATTGTTCAGGCTTTCTGTTCCTACAGAATAGAAGAAAGGGGACCACACAGCAACTGACAATTTAATTACAATGCTATAATGCTTTTTGTATGTGTTTGACCAGGCTTTTAATCTAAAGTTGTAAGACATAATAGTATCACTTCACTACTGGTTGATGTTAAAGGTACTAGCTGCTAGATTTGCTTAACAGCTGCTGGTGCACAATGTCAGTACTAGTAATGACTCTTGCAATGACAAATGACAAATGCCAAATGACTACTTATGCCTGGTATAGTCAGACTTAAGTTCCAGTATTTCAAATACAGAGCCTTCAATTTAGGATTGCCAGTTGTTCAGGATTACCCTGGAGTCTCCAGGAATTGTGGATTAATCACCAGGACCCTGCTGAAAAATCATTTGGTGCTCGGATAGTTCTACATCTTATCGCCTCATTTATCATAGAATATACTGGATATGGATCTATACGGCTTTTTGATTAATCAGTAATCATCTTATCAGGTATCCAAGATTCTGTTCACTTTCCAATTGGTGAATGAAGCTGAGGTGACCAATGGATTGAGGTTATGTGATTAAATCTCCAGGAATACATCCAATCACAGGTGGTAGTCTTACTTGAACTGCCTCAGTCCAACTCACTGAAATATCCTTCCGAGTCATCTTATCTCTCGACCTTTGAAAACTGCCTCAAAATTCACTTCTGCGATAAAGTTCTGTCACCCTTAAACTGTTCTTCATGATTTGGCTGCCTGTTCTCTTATTTAGATAATTTTGTCGCCTTTTGACATAATAGCAGTCTTCAAATGGAGGGTACGTGATGATATGTATTTGCAGTGCAGGCAAGAATTGTGTAAGTTCAGTAAGCACTGTTGGGCATGCTTCCACGAGGCCTGTTGAATGTATGAGGTGTGCGGGTTATAATGTGTTGGGCCAGTGCAGAGGCTGAGTAGATGTGACACGCATAGCAATTTAGATGCGCCAAATTTATTTAAACCATTCATTTTCTACACAGTTTAACCTGATCTTCATAGGTGAAAATGCTGTTGGCTTTCTCTGTTTGGGCCTTCCGGCCAGATCTAGTTTAGCAATTCAGTCATGCTAGAGATACCTGTCATAAAGAGAACTTTCTATTTTGCTGAGGCAATTATATTGATTTTTCATTTGATTTCAGAATGTTTTTCTTAATGCAGCAATACTGTAATACTGAGCATGGTGTACTATGGAATGCCCTATATATCTTGGTTTGGGTCAAGGGGACAGGAGACGAACATCTATGGACTGAGGTGGATTCATAACTCTCCCCCTTGTATCTCATGCCCATCTCCGCATGATTACCCAAATGGGTCAGGTTGGAGGAGATCAATTTTGGAAGCTGTGATCTCTAATAAAGCAATATATGCTGTCTCCCAGAGCCAGATCTTCACACCAGATTCAGGACAAAAAGAAAACACTGATTTGGACTGACAAGGTGGCCACTCAACACCCTCTATCTTCTTGATATTCCCAACAACAGCTGGAGTTATGAGGTAAATTTTGCATCCATCAAAACAAATATACAGGTCCTTGTTTGCCAGGAGAAGCTTCTACGTTGTTTTCCCCATGAAAAACAGTCAGTAGTGACAGAACACTTTTATCAGGCAGCAGGTTTCCTCACAGGGTACAGCATGATTAATGGCATATCTGGCCATATGAACACTCCCCTCTCAATTGTACATGCTTCATGAACAAAAAGCATACTGGTTCCTTTAATTATTGTATAAGTGCATGTCATGGGGCTTTTATTTGTTAATTGCATTTCAAAAATGGTTGGTAAAATCTAAGATCAATAAATGGGTGGTTCTTCAGGGAACAATATTGTCCCCTTCAAAAATAGAAATTGCTGGAAAAGTTCAGCAGGTCTGGCATCAGCTGTGGAGAGAAATCAGAGTTAACATTTCAGGTCAAGTGACCCTCAGAACTCCCCTTCAACCTTGGTTTATGACCCCTCAGACTGCCAGGATAGAGCTGAAAACTGTTGGAAAAGTGGTTGAGGCCATCACCAAGGATGTTCTAGAGCCATCCCTACAATTAGGGGTACCAGCAAAAGTCTCCAAGACCATTGTGGTTTGTTGTCTCTTGTACGTCTTTGTCCAATGCAATATTACCATGGAGCAGTTGAAAGAGAAACCCCAGCCTCATCCAGTGGCAGAAGAAGATGTTGACCCAAAAAGCTGAGAAGATGCATGTAAAACCTGAATTTCTGACGCAAAGAGGCATAACTTGCCATTTACATATCTGTTCAAGATTAAATGAAATACACAAAAATTGTTGTTATGTGGAAGATGTGTTTGGCTCCTGTAGAACAGTCCGGGAGAAGGGAATTGAATAAGGGAGGGACAGTGGCAGTGGCAGGGGTTGAGTAGCTGGAGATATGACTGGTAGAAGTGAACCAGGATTGCTCATTCAGAAGGCCAGCAATTGCCTCCTGTACTGCAACATTATGTGATTCTAGGATGTCATAGGGAGAATAGAAAGCAGAGATGGGGGGGAGTGTTAAGAGAAAATGTATTTGATGGTGGTATGCTGTTTTAGGTGATAGATGATCTGAAGAATGTGCAGGCTGCTTGGAGGAATGTGAGGAGAAAGGAGGCCCTATACACTTGAGAGGGAAGTGAATGCAGGATATAAGAAAGATATGGTTGAGAAGGATCTTTTTAATCTCTGTAGTGGAACTCATGCTATGGGCTAAAAGGAACAATATTTCAAAAGCTTTGGTGTTTTCAGAGGAGATGCGAGAGACAAAGAATGGAATTTGTGCTGGATGTAAGTCATGATCCAGGTGAGACCTATTTATTCATTATGGTTACATGTGGTTGCACACTACATTGAGGGTGTAAACCTTAGGAGCTTTGAAATTTCTACATGATTGTATAAATGAAAATGTGTATATTCTGTGGTTAATTATTGCTTTTGAAAGCTGTATGAAGCACAATGGAAATTAGCCATGCCTTCAAATATGTATTCATTAATAAGACCAGCTTGTCTCCACTCCTGATTATTTATTCATGTTCTATACATCCCATTTGATCATGCTCTTGTGATGTAGACTAGTATTAAGTATTTATATCTGTTGCAAAATGGCAGAAATAAAATTTTGACAAATAAATTTATAGTATGGAGATCTCAGTGCAAGACTCCACGTCTCAAACTGCTATAAAACTGACTCTAGGTTCTAAGCACTTGCATATGAATAGGTTCATTGACTCTGAATTGCCCTCTGGGCAATTAGGGATGGGCAATAAATGCTGACTAGCCAGCAACAGCCTTGTCCCATTAATGAATAAAGAAAAAAAAACAAAATTTGGCAGATAGAGTTTAATATGGTTATGAGTGTGCTTATCCATTTGGTCTTAAGAATAGAAAGGCAATTTATTATTTAAATGGGAGCAATTTCAGACTGCTTTGGTATAGAGGGGTCTGGGTGTCCTTGTGCATGAATCACAGAAAACAAGCATGTAAGTGTAGCAGGTAATAAGAAAAGTAAATGGAATTTGGTATTTTTTGCTAAAGGGATGGAGTGTAAAAGTACGGAAGTGCTGCTGCAACTGTATATGGCATTAATGGGACTGCAGCTGGAGAATTGTATGTAGTCTTGGTCCCCTTACTTTAGGAGTGATGTAGTTGCAGTTACATTGGAGGCAGTTCAGAGGAGAGTCACTAGATTGATTGTGGAGGTGAGGAATTTGTTTTATGATAAGAGAAAGAGCAGTTTAGGCTGAGACTCTAGAGTTTTGCAAAATGAGAGATTTAACTGAGGTATATGAGATGCTAAAGGGGATTGACAAAGTAGGCATAGAGAGGATGTTTCCTCATGTGGAGCTATCTGGAACAAGAGATCATATTTTTGGGAAAAGGGGTAACAGATTTAAAACAGAAATGAGGAGAAAATACTTCTCTCATGGGTCATGAACCTGTGGATTCACTACCCTAGAGTACAGTGATGCCAGAACATTGAGTAAACCTAAGGAGGAGATAGATTTTTAATTAGTGACAGGTTGAAGGATTATGGAGAGCGGACGAGAAAATGAAGTTGAGCTGAGATTAAATCAGCCATGATCATATTGAATGGCAGAGCAGGCTCAAGAGGTTGAATTACCTACTTCTGTTCCTTATGTTCTTTATATACGTGGTTCATTCCCAGTAATTATAAACCTAACAAAATTTTGTACCAAAAAGGCTGTTGTCATTTCCTTTTATTGCAAAAAAGATCATTCTTCAAGCATGAACTTAAGACCATGAAGAGCAAATATCAAAGGACTGTGCAGAATGGCAACTACTGTATATGATTGTTGCCCTGTGTAAGGCAAGGATAAAGGAAATAACTCAGTCTGCAGATTCTGTCTCCATGTGCCATGGAAAGTATTCCTTTGGTATTAACTCCAACTAGTGCAAAAAAAGCTACTAATTTGCCAATAATAGTTTCCATGTTAGTCCAGAGCAGGAAAATTGTTGGTTAAGTGTTTGATGATTGTATGTGATCATAGGAATACAGCTTGGATAACCATGATTATCTCACAATAAAATATGTCCACCATTTCTTAAATTTATAATCAGGTTAGAAAAATTGTATTATTAATCATATTCTGCTAGGAATGGCACCACACCCATCTACTCAGTTTGTTCCAAGATTCCTGTGATACAAGAACTAACAGTCCTGTCAGTACTCATCTGTTCGCCTTTTGAAATCTGAATCAAACTAACTCTACAGAGCAATTAGGATGGGGTTCGCAAAGATGATAGGATCAAAATCACTCCTGATAATTACACCAGTTTGGTAGAGTAACACTATTTCCATAGTTCGGCAAAACTTTGGTGTCTCGCTATTTAGTGAGCTATGCTGGCAACTATAAAGATGTGGTTAGGTAATGAAGAGGTCACTTGGTTCAGCTATAATGTTCACCAAGGTTGACATTCTGCAGGTATGCTTACATAACCAAATTACCTTGGCTAAATACTTGTGAAATTGGGAGTGGGAGGGTTGCAGCAGTTGTGGGAATTAGTGTCCTGAGGAATCGGGGGGGGGGGGGGGTGGAAAATGTCATTATCCTTGTTGCTTTTCTCCTTCCCAAAGGAAGTGACTAATCCGTGGGTTGTACCTGGAATCAATTCAGCTTTCCAACAACCCAATCCTCAAGGGCCAGACAACACAGACCCATTTGCGCTTTAGATTTCATATTTGGTGTCTGTCTGGTTTGACTTTTATTGGTCTGGAGGATTGGAAAGAACTAATTGTTGGTTGACTACATTTTTTAAACAAGTCAAATGTCACTGATCTGATTGATCAGCAATCAGCCTTCCATAACGAGAACAGTGACAGACTATTTGTAGTTTAGAGATGCCACACTAAACACTTTCATGGCTCTGAGCCTCAGCTGTAAGCTGTACCATTTGCTTTCCATGCTTTATGTAAATACAATAACAGAACAAGGAAGAGAACAAAAAGGACCGATTTGTTTTTTTTTAAAAACTTTAATAAATATACACAATTAGATTACAAAATAATTTATGTGAAAAGTTGATGCAAACAGATAAAAGTTCTTGGGTACTGCAATAGACAAATAAATAGAGAAAGATTTCTGGTTGGCCCCCACAGCCTCCTTTCAGCCTGGCTTTCCACTGGCTCCATATGCAGCGGCTCGGATCGATTTGTAGAAGCAGCTCCGAGGATGAAATCGTGTTTGAATCTCTCACAATCCCTTACAGTTTCCTTCATCCACAACTCGGATTGAGACATTTCCTTGATCAAATTTGGCTGTCTGGAAAAAGACCACATTGCAGTTAGTGACTACAGCATTTTCTACCATTCTGCAACCATGTTATTTTCAAATATTTAATATTAGGCAAAACAAGCCCAGTACTTTAGCTTTCAAGTCTATGGAAGTGAGTTGTCAACTGTACATCAACTGGAGAAAAGGAAAGAGTTGATCAGTCAAATTGTGATGAGTTTAACAGTAAATTATTATAGTTTAATGTCAACCTAAGAGATTGACAAGCAAGTTAACCGATTTCTTTCATGCCTTAGTTTTTCTTCCTTCCAACTCCTATCTTAATCTTGAATCACCAAAGTAACCACTCCGCACAAAAGCGGCTAAGTTGGCAATGGGTGAATTCACAGTTCAGCTTGATCTTACCAATGGCCGAAGATGTACACAACACGAGATAGCAACTAGGAGAGAATCTGATTGTTTGGTTTAGAAGCACCAAGCACATAAGCTTCCATTTTTAAGCTACTTGGTTTGAGGTCAGCTAATTAATAGCACGGGCCTGGGATCTTCCTACTATTGGATGTACAGCTGAATGCCAAGCAGATTAAATTTTGAACCCGACAAGTGTCAACACGGGTTCCCACTGAATGCGTCTCCAGGCCGCCATCATATGCTAAAAAAGGTAAAAAGACACCACGAAGAGAGGAATGGAGGGACTACTGGTTATGGGCAACACTGACCCTATCCCGGAATGAGTGACTCATTCCCACATCGGGAAGTGGAAAAGTCTCAAACGCCCACAGATTCTGAGGTCGAAGGTTGGCGCTGCCGACGACATTGGCTTAGTCCCAGGAATTCGAGACTCCACGTGGCGGAGCGGAGTTTTACTACAGCCTTTAAGAAATGAATGTTTTTTAAAAAAAAAACCAAGGACCGAGGGAGCAGGTTGTCCAAAAAAAAACAACAGGGGTTTATCCCTGATCTCACTGGGAGCCCGAGTCAGGCTGTAACCCACACTAATAAGGTGGGATTTCCCCAGCTAGCTCAGAGAGAGAGAGACACTGACCCAGTTCGGACAGAGACAGGGAAAGCCGGAGGAGGACTGAATATGAAATATTTTGGGGAGAAGGAGCGGGTCCAGTCCTTACCCGTGCAGCAATGGGGAAAGAGGTGGTGGAGACGGGGAGCAGGTTTAAGGTGACCTTCCCAACACTTTCTCCTGTTGGTCCGGGCACGGGCTCTCGCTTTCCGGCCGGGATTTGAAGCTCTGGATGGCTTTCCTGTTCTTGAATTCAATGAGAGCCATGGTGATGGCCGAGTGCCAGCAGCTCTCCCCCAGGCACCTGAAGTCCATCTCCTTGTTGTCGGTGGTCACCACAGTGAAGTAAATGTACTTGCCGGTCCTCTCCACGCAGTCTACCGTCCGGATCTGCTGCAGGGTCAGCTCCTTCCTCCGGGAGCGCCTCTGGCAATCCGGGTAGAGACCAACACTGTCCCGGGTCAGGACACAGTATTTCTTCTTCCAGAGCTGGAGCAGGTTGTCACTTCTCTTCTCCAGCACTCCCTCTTGGATCACTTGGGCGCCATCTGTGATCTTCATACTGACAGCTTCTCTTTCTACAGTCTCGATTGTGAAGAGAAAGGAACCGGCACCAGGGCAGCGATCAGGCTGAATACAGTTAAAACTCTTCACGCCGGCTGCGCCCAGACTGCAGAATGAGAATCTTCTTTCTTTCCTTTCTAATAAAGAGTCGCAGCCCGGATCCCGCCCATTTCCTGCCTCACCCACTCGGGGATGATGAACACCAGATTTCCCCTCCCACTCCAACATCAAAGCTCTTTTTGCAAAAGGAATCGAACGACAGACTGTGTGAAGCAGGCGTTTCCTCTCTCTGCCTTCCAAATCGAATTTATTCAAACATCGGAAAAAAAAGGCGGGCCCCCGCACTGCCCCTATTTGGGAAAACCTCTACTTGAAGAGGTTTTTTTTATCCCCTAGATGATTTTGGTGAATCACAGCATGGTTACAACACAGACGAAGGCGGTTCGGCCCGTCGTGTTGTTGCTGGCTCTCCTATAAACAACTGGCCCAATCGCTCCCCTGTCTTTTTTTTAAAATCGGCATTTTTTTTTGTCTGTTCAGGTAATCATTTAATTCTCTTTCGCAAGCCACAATTGAATTTGTCGCTACAGCATTTAGATCACATTCCAGATACTAACGCCTCTCTGAGGTGTAAAGATTTTTTCTCATGTCAAGTGTTCTTTTGCTTACTATCATCTTAAATTGTGGTCCTCCAGTTCATGATCCTTTCGGAAAAGGGTACAGTAATTTTTCAGTGATAACTCCGCCCAGACCCGCCCTGATTTTGAGTACTTGACTCACATCTCCCGAGTTTATCTTTCTAAGGAGACCA